GAATGAGAACGGTTGCCTAACTCAAAGAATGTAGTCAGCGCCACTGACATGTAGGTGTAGAAACTGGTGTGTTTTTTACATATCTTTTCATCACAACAAAAATAAAATTTTAAAAATGTAAAGGCATGCACAATAGGAAAAAGTCAGTGAAAATGACAGAGTAATAACCTCAGCAAAGCTTTTGTTTCATAAAGCACGCTGACAGAAAGGTCATAATCAACTTCTTTAGAAGTCTGGAAAGCACCCGTGCAGTGTGGTATGAAGAAAAAAACGTGGCTGAATCTCAGTAAGAACTTTTGTTTTGCATTTTAACATGAATTATTCCCTGCTCTCCACCTCCATGGTCTCAAAACCAAACCCATTACCATCAAATCATTTCCAACGCATAGCAACCTTATGAGGGTTTCCAAAGTTTTGCACACCATTACAGGAGCCGACAGCCTCATCTTCCTCCCAAGGAGCAGGGTGATGGATTCGAACTGTCATCCTTGTGGTCAGAAGCTGAACAGGCATTCAGCAACCCACAGCACCACCTCTATGGTAGCCTTTAAAAGTAAGAGCCTGTATTTGTGGTCAAAACCAGGTGACTGATAAGCCAGTGGAGGGAGTAGAATAGGGCTTAAAGAACCAATTGCTAAAGAAAATCAAATACTCAAGTAAACAGTCCAAAGGATTAATGGACCATACAAACTATAGACTCCACTGTCCCAAGACCAGAAAAAGTAGGTGGTGCCCAGCTACCACACTACCAAGTGCTCCGAGATGGATTACAACAGAAGGTCCTGAACAGAGTGAGGGAGATAGGGCATAAAGGAGATACAGAAAAAAATTCATTATCATAAAAAATTTTTTTTTTAAAGGCCAGAATTACTGGTCTGATAGAGACTGGTGGAACCAGAAGACATGCTTCAAACCTGGAGCTGAAGCACTCCAAGAAATAACCTATCAATCAGGCAATAGGTAGGCCTATGAAGTGAACAAGGAGCCCTTGTGGCTTTGTGGTTATGTGTTGGGCTGCTAACTGCAAGGTCAGCAGTTCCAAGCCACCAGCTGCACAATGACAGAACAAAGCTTTCTACTCCCATGAAGAATTACCGTCTTGGAAACACACAAGGGCAGTTCTACCCTGTATGATCAGGTCATTATGGAAGTGGGTCAAATTGGTGATAGTGAGTTTTAAAGTGAGTTCATAAAGTGAACAGTAATAGCAGTGAGGAACATACTTCTCAGAACAATCAACCATAGGAGACCAAAAGGGCAACATTTGTCCCCAAACAAAATTCAGCAAGCAAGGACGACGGAGGCATGGAAAGGGAAACCCAGCAGATGGGTAGAAGAGTCCTGTATCATTGCAGGGATTGCACCTAATGTGACATAACAACATATGTATGAATTGTTGAATGGGAAACTGATTTGCTCTGTAAACGTTCACCCAAACCACAAATGTGATTGTTGTTTTTAGGTACAGTTGAGTCAGTTCCAACTCAAACCAACCCTATATACAACAGTAAGATATTAAAAAAAAAAAAAAAAGCAACACAAAACATTTGCTATAAAGTTAGTTCTAAGATAAGACAACGTGTGTCAGAATAGAACTGTATTTAATATGGTTTTCTTTAAAAAAATATTTTGTTGTTTCCATGAATGTTTTCATAGCAGTTTAGGTTTCCATCCAGTAATTTCTACCCAAATTCAGGACATTGGGTACAGTCACAATACATGAACATTCATATTATTTTCCTTGTGATTGCTTCATTTTATTCATCTAGTTTCTCTTGTACCTTACTTTGTCACCTTTATTTTAAAGTAACTGTTGACCATTCGGTCTCATATTGGTGACTTTTAAAAAGGAGCACAGAACTTCATAATTACATTCATTATGTTGTGAGTCCAAGCTGACGACGAGTTCATCTCGGTGCCAGGTTTAGAGAGTACCTCAGGGCAATAGTCTTAGGGCAAGCTCCAGTCTTGTTGAGTTCAGTCAGTTTCATTTTGTAATTTTGTTGGGTTTTATTTTGTTGTTGTTTATAAAGGGATTTGAGGTTCTGCTCCACATTTCCCTTCAGGATCCATCTCCAGTATTAATCTGTTTCTTTTTTTTTTTTTTCAGTGTATCAGGTAATTTATTTATGTTGGCTAAACTGTATACATGTACATGTGACCACCGCGTGTCTATTAGTTTGTCATGTTGCTATGATAGTAGCAGTGAGACCACTGGTATTTCAAATTCAAGCAGGGTCACTATGGTGGGCAGTTTCAGTGGCGCTTCCAGATTAGGCCCAAAGGGCTGGTGATCTACTTCTAAAACACAACCCAATGAGAACCTTATGAATCACAACAGAAGCTTGCTCAACAGAGTGCTGGAAGACGAGCTTTGTACATTGTAAAGCACTTTAAATGCCACAACAATGGATTCATACTCACCACGATTGGGAAGGCAGCGCATGACTGCGGGACAGCTTTGTTGTACATCACGATGGGTCATATAGCCCACTCCACCGCCATGCACAAGAACAAGGAAAGGGTTAGAGAGAGCCAGGATGGAAAAATGTGTCTCTACTGTTTTGGAAAGATACACGGAAGGTGTTTAAGGAGCTCTGAGAAGGCAAGGTTAAGTGCTTGGCTTCTAACAGAAAGGTCAGCAGTTCAAAACCAGAGAAATATGTGGCAATTTTCTTCTGTGAAAATTTGCAGCCTTGGAAAACCTTTGGGGCAATCTACTCTGTCTCATCTGTTTCTTGTATGCATAGCAACCCTCCATGTAACAGAACAAAGCACCAACTGGGCCCTGACATCCTCACAGTCATTGAATTGGCTATAGATGAGATCATTTTTTGCAGCCACCGTGTCAGTCAATCTCATTGAGGGTATTTCTCTTTTTTGCTGACTCTACCAAATGATGTCCTTCACAAGGGACTGCTTCTTCCTGAGAACACGTCCACAGTGCGGGAGAAGGAAGTCTTGTCATCTTCTCTTCCAAGAAGCGTCTGGCTGTACTTCTTCCCACACAGATCTGTCTTCTTCTGGGAGTCTCCGATACATTCAGTAATTTCACCAGTGCTGTAATCCAGTTCACAGTTGATCATCCGTATTCTGTATTCTGGAATAGTTTTAGTAGAATTGGTATCAACACTTCTCTGAATATTTCTAAAAATCTTAGAGTTAATCATCTGGCTTTCTATTTGTTGGTTTTGTTTGGTTTCTACTTTTTTTGTTGTTTCATTTATTTTTGTCAAATTATTTTTGTAGTGTTTTCCTAAATTCTTTGAAGGTTTTTAAAATGTTTCTTTGATTTTGTCTATTGCTTTCTTGACTCTTCTCTCAATCTATTGAAAGTTCCTAGGTGCCATTCTTCTGAATTCCTTATCCAGTAGTGCCAATGTCTTTCTTCCTCAGGAAGGTCTTTTGGCTCTGTAGAGTTGTCACTTGTTTGCTCCACTCTGTCTTGTTTTCTTCATGTGACATGAAATTGTCTGTTGTTTCCAGTATATTATGGTGTTGTGTGTTGTATTGTGTGTCTATGAGTCAGAATTGATCTGCTGGCGTTGACGTTTTTTGGTATTTGTGCTTATTTGGTGGTTAAGTGACACTGGAGTGGATGGTGGCCCTTGCTGTGACTGTCGGAGCTGTTGGAGATGCAGGGTTGTCTGGATCATGTGGAGACAGCTGTCTCCAGTCAAGTGGGGCATGAAAGGAACATGAACCAAGAAGCAAGGGCCCCAAGCTAGACCAAGCAACTGTCTTTTCTTTGTCAGCCATGGGGGTGTTCCAAGACAGTTGTAGTTTATCAAGGTCACAGTGTGTGGCAGCTCCTTCATGATCTGTCCTCTGTCACAATCTGTAGGGGGAGTACAGCTGGTGGCTGGGTGTGTGAGGGTGGTGGCTGGTCATGGCTACTCCTCTGGTCACCAAGGGATTGTGGGGAGCAAGGGCATATCCCACCCCTCTTCTGTCAGCCATCACTGTGCATCTGTATGGCTATGGGTGGACTCATTGCCATCAAGTTGATGCCAACTCATATCCTATGGGACAGGGTAGAACTGCCACTGTCAGTTTCCAAGACTGGAACTCTTTACAGGAGTCGAAATCCCTATCTTTCTCCCATGGAGTAGGTGGGTGGTTTCTCAGTACTTTCAGGTGTATCAATACATGAGGCTAATGAATGGGGACTGGCCAACCCAAGAGGGACCACGTGGGGACCTGGCAATGACTAAGCTTCATGAGGCTTGCTGTAATTAATCATTTCCAAGTGGTGAGGCTGTTAAGAGCCCTGAGCCCTACGGATCAGTTGAGCTTCCTGTTGGTGACCATGTACAGGAGAAAGCAATGTGTTCCTTTTGGGGACATGGAAACTTGGCTCATCTTAAACCTCCCCTGTGTCTCTGTGTTTTGTTTTGTCTCGTTGTAGCCAGAAGTATAGTGTACATTCCATGAGTGCTATCAGCTCTTCCATCCACTATATGACTACACAGGGAGAGGGAAATCCATCCAGGGCCAATTCGACCTATTTGGCAATCTGAAAGAAGCATTCTTAACGTGTGCTCTCTTACCTACCTGGTTCTGGGTGGTCCGGGTTGAAAGATGGTGCCCATGTTCCTTGTGAGGTCTGACCTGGCTGTGCCCGACTAGAATTGGAGAGCAATACTGCCATATGAGCCGCTGGCAAAGGATAGAGAGGGTGAACGCTGTCTCCATTTCCTTAGTTTGGGAATTAGATTCAGGCTGATTCCTTTCAGGAAGTTAGCAAGGAAGGTGGAGTTTGTCCACAGTGCACTTTTCTTATGACAGCTTTTAAGAAATAATTGAGAATGAATAATGGTGTTTCGACATTCTGTACCCATAGTAACATGTTAATATTAAATATTATGTAGCAATACACTCAAAGCCTATTTTTCCCTGTTCTCTGCTATTTTTAAGTGAAGTCATATACATGAAGTCCTTGGTTACTTTGACCCCTGAAATTATATTTTCCTAATTCTGATTCCCCTTTTCCTATGTAGAGGTCCCGAAGCACCAGTGGCGGAATATAAAGGCTGGCTGACAAAGGTATCTAGAAAACAAGGGGCTGGAGCTTATGTGCATATGTTTAGGTAAGTTTAATTTTGGCGTTCCCTTCTAACTAGCTTATTTACAAAGTGACAGACTGTCCTTAGAAAGCTTTGCCTTAGAAACAGGGTCAACATTTAGTTGTTTGATATCTACCTAGAATTGGCAAATGCATGGAGACAAAAGGTCTTTTAGTAGTTAACAAGGGCTAACAGGAAGGGAAACGAACGATTGCTTCAGGAATTCGGAGCTGCTGTTGGGGATGATGAAGAACGTTTAGGGATCTCGTGGTGATGACGGCCCAACGTGGTGAATGTAACTAGTGTCATTGAAGTATACGCTGAAAAAGTCTTAAAACGGGAAACATTTTGTTACATCTATTTCACCACAAGACAACATTTTCTAGATCCAGTTGGTAGTTTCCATATAAGCAAATAATTTTTAAAACGAAGTCTCCTGAGAAGTTTGTGGTCGTGAAACATTTCTTATTCTTCCATCATAGGGGAGCTAGTCGTACTGAAACCATCACGGCTTTCAGAAAAAGAGAAAGTAGAGTGCCAAGCAGTCTCTTAAAGTAAGTAGACTTCCAACCTGACCCCACGCAGAAGTGTGCAGCGAATGGCACACCGTGACGTCTCCTTCTTCCAGGCAGGCTTTTCTGAAGATGAGCACGGGCCCCGAGGCCTTCCTAGCGCTCCGCTCCCACTTTGCCAGCTCTCACGCCCTGCTGTGCATTAGCCACTGGATCCTTGGGATCGGAGACCGACATCTGAACAACTTCATGGTGAATATGGAAACTGGCGGCATGGTGGGAATTGACTTTGGACATGCATTTGGATCCGCTACTCAGGTGTGCTTACTTCACTCACATTATCTGGTCTAGTTTGCAACTGTCTCTAGCTGACTCTGTAATGCCATTAAGAAAAGCACAGTTGTTGTTTTTAATAATTTTATTGGGGGCTCGTACAGCCCCCATCACAATCCATGCATACACCCACTGTTGGGCACACCCGTACACATGTTGCCATCATCATTTTCAAAACATTTTCTTTCTGCTTGAGCCCTTGGTATCAGCTCCCTGCTTTCCTTTCCCTCCCTCCCTCCCTCACGAACCCTTGACAATTTATAAATTATTATTTTTTCACATCTTACACTAGCCAATGTCTCCCTTTACCTACTTTTCTGTTGTCAGTCCCCCTGGGATGGGGTTATATGTAGATCATTGTGATCGGTTCCCCCTTTCTTTCCCCCACCTTCCCCTTACCTTCCTGGTATCGCTACTCTCATTATTGGTCCTGAGGGGTTTATCCGTCCCAGACTCCCTGCTCTTCCAGCCCTCACCTGTACCCGTGTACCTGCTCTGGTCCAGCTGGACCTGCAAGGCAGAACTTGGGTCATGATAGAGGGGGCGGGGGAAGCATTAAAGAACTAGAAGAAAGTTGTATGTTTCATCAGTGCTATACTGCACCCTGACTGGCTCATCTCTTCCTTGTGACCCTTCTGTAAGGGGATGTCCAGTTGTCCACAAATGGGCCTTAGGTCTCCACTCTGCGCTCTCCCTCGTTCACACTGACGTGATTTTCTGTTCTGGGTCTTTGATGCCTGAAACCTGATCCCATTGACACCTCATGATCACACAGGCTTGTGGAAAAGCAGAGTTTTTAAAGAAGAAGTGGTACAGTATTTAGGTCCATTTTGTCATGGTCATTAAATCTAACAATCTCGAAAAAAAAAAAATCTAACAGTCTCACAGAAAGGGCTAGTGTCAGTTTTATTTAGCTCTGTTCAAACAAATTATGAAAACTATAATGGTAAGTTATGTAATTAGTCGAATAAAATATTATACTTATATAAAAATACTTATTAATTATTATAAGGCGATTTTGTGAAGCCCCATGATCAGAATATCTTGCACACAGTTTGATCTGAGTCTTTTCTCTGACATTAAATTCTGAACGCTTTAAATTGTACTTTTTGATCTCTGAGGGCTATGTGGTACCAGGCATGTACGATTTTGCACTGAGAGGATATTGTTAGCTATGTTGGTTACTCTTTAGCAAGGTGAATTCATATCTATATAGCCTGTTTACTGAAAGCGGGAGTTTGTAATGTCTAAATGTGAGTAATAATTAGGAAAAAATGTTTCATTTGTGCTGCTAATTTATGATTGCTAGTTCATTTATTCTACTTCTTGCATGTGCTTTTTGTTCTTATTTAGTTTCTTCCAGTTCCTGAATTGATGCCTTTTCGCCTAACTCGCCAGTTTATCAATCTGATGTTACCAATGAAAGAAATAGGTCTGATGTACAGTATAATGGTACATGCACTAAGAGCCTTTCGCTCTCACCCAGACCTACTTACCAACACCATGGATGTGTTTGTAAAGGAACCTTCCTTCGATTGGAAAGTACGCTTTGTTTAAGACACATTTTTCATTTTATTGTAATGTTCCAGTAATCAATCCTGTTTCTCCTATTGATTTAGAAAGACTTATATTATGTTGACCAGCATCTCTCCCAGTGAACATTTATGGTCATTTGGCCCTGGTGGCATGGTGGGTTGTAAGTTGGGCTGTTAACCACATGGTTAGTGATTCAAAACCACCAACTGTTCTAAGGGAGGAAAACGAGGCTTTTTGTTCCCAAGATTAACCACTTCTGAAACCCACGGGGGCACTTTGACTCTGTCCTGCAGGATTGCTATGAGCAGGAATTAATTTGATGGCAGTGAATTTGGTTTTGACTTTGGCATGAAAACCAAATAAGTAATGACACCTTTATTTGGTAGAGACGGGTTTTTACCAAACATGGTTTTTAAATGGGTTTCGGTTGAGTTTATTTCTAACTGAGAGAAAGAGCCCGGTGACCCAGTGGTTAAGCATTGGGCTGCTAAGTACCAGGTCAGCAGTGCCAACCGGCCAGCCATGCCGCAGGGGAAAGACCTGGTTTTTCTGCTCCTATAAAAATTGTAGCCCTGGCGCCTCTACGAGGCAGTTCCAGTGTGCCCTGTAGAGTCACTGAGATTGATTGTGGGATCGATTCACCACCCACATTTCTCCATGAGACACCTTTAATTTAGAAATAGTCCCACAAGAGCTTTTCTATGATCATAAAGACATATTGTTTTCTGAAAATTTTGAATATTGTCCGTAATTACCTGCCCCTAAATAATTAAGTCTAGTGGAGCTCACTCTTTATAGCTCCCTGTGATCATTTAAACCTTGTTACAGGCACTCTAGCGCATTGTCATTCTTTGTACACAGCCTCACAATACCATTAGGCTTTGTATGAAGACCTGTTGAGCTATTCCCACTTCCTGGCATTTGTGTAACATGTTGATGTTTCTTCACTTTATTTCTTAAGGATTTAATCTACTTGAATGTGATTATCATCTATAATTTTATAATGAACAGAAAATAATTCGCTTTTCCTTTAGAATTTTGAACAAAAAATGCTGAAGAAAGGAGGATCATGGATTCAAGAAATAAACGTAACTGAAAACAATTGGTACCCCCTGCAGAAAGTAAACTACGCCAAGAGAAAGTTAGCAGGTGCCAACCCCGCAGTCATTACTTGGTAAGATGGTTATTTCTGGAAAACACCAAACAAAATACCATATGCCATCATTTATAGAACAATTGCTATGTGCTGTGTCACGTAGGTCAAGTAGTGTCACTGAACCCATGATGCTGTTCTTATGATCCTCCTTTTTCAAAGAAGAAAACAGTAGTTTCAAGAGGTTGACTTCTCCAAGACTTAAGAGTGAGGGCTTCAAGCAAAGGCCAGTTCCTAAGAGCCTGCATATACAGCTCCGTACTCGGTAGTCTTCAGAGTACAAATTAGTAAGAGGCATAGCGGGGAGATAGACAGTGCTTTCTACTCCTGTGAGAGTTACCGTCTCAGAAACCCACAGGGCAGTTCTCCCGGCCCTGCAGGGTCACTGTGAGTGGGACTTGACTCAATGGCAGTGAGTTTGTTTTTTTCCTTTTATTTTGGTTTAGTTTAGCCTCAGAGGAGAAATGAGCATTCTGAGACTGCTGAGACTTATTTTACGTCATACACACTGAGGAGATCTAAGCTTTAAATTCGCTTTTGTCCTTTTAAGGAAATCTGCTAACCATGCTACCAAGGTGTACTGAAATATAGTGTGAGCTTGTTAGATATGTATCTAAATTGTATTGACATTTTGGTTAGCTCTTACATTTTTCTTGTTGTGATTGAAAGCAAATAGAGATGATTCATGGGGATGAGAAAGAGGTGAACTGTACAAACAAGTCATATCAAATGGCAGTCTTACAGAATGCAGTCGCACAGTCGTTAAGCCCTGGGCTACTAATCAAAGGATCATGGGTTCAAGCCTACCAGTCACTCATGGAAGAACGATATAACAATCTACTTTGTTTTTTAAAAATCATTTCACTGGGGGCTCTTACAGCTCTTATAAGAATCCATACATTCATTGTGTCAAGCACATGGCAGTCTACTTTCATAAAGATGTCAGCCTTGGAGACCGTGTGGAGTAGTTCTACCCTGGCTTATAGTGTTGCAGTGAGTCAGCATCGGTTCAACAGCAGTGAGTTAAACGGAAATCTTTGCACAATTAGTTTTCGACAAGGATGCCAATACCATCTGATGAAGCAAGAATAATCTTTTCAATGAAAGGTGCTAAAATAGCTGTATACCCCCACCCCACCTACTCCCCTGGGAATGAATGAAGTTGGATGCCTACCTCATCCCCTTTTGAAAAATTGACTCAAATTAGCACCCTAAATGTAAGAACTAGTCTATATGACTGAGAAGAAAACAAAGAGGCAATCCCTCATGCCCTTAGCTTTACCTGCCGAGTGTTAGCTGTGACATCGAGAAAGCAACGCAAGAGGAAGATAAATAAATTGCACTTCATCAGGATTTAAAAATTACTTCTTGAAAGATAGAGGTAATTCCAACCCTCTCCTACAAAGATAATAAGGAAGCAGTACTCAACCTGGAGGGACTCGGGACTCGGGAGCAGAAGAGAGCGGCGTGGAACTGCAGACGGGCAAGAATAAACAGGCAGTAGGAAAAGTGCTTTTCCTTCCACCCATTTGGGTTGCTGGCTACTGTGAACTGCAGATGAAATCCAGCCTAAAACACCCCCAAAACAACAGCCCCTCTGGCTGTACAGAGAGACCGCACCCCAAGTTTCTCTCTTAACATCAGTAAGGTCGGTCTCCCTGAGGGCTTGCCACCTCCTCTCCTACCTGGCATTCTCAACTGTAATTCTGCTGTCAACTGCTATAGGTGACCTCCCTGCACCGGGGTCTGCCCCTGCAGCGAACACTCTGTCGGTCTCTGTGTACTCCATAGCTCTGGCCCCAGCCACCAACAGGATAGACGTTCTGAGGTGAGTACTGCTGATTGAAGCTCCTGTGTGCAAAGAAGTCGGTATCTGGACTGCCAACTCCATGACAACTAGTGCTGTCAGAGCTTAACAGTCCCAAAGAACACCTGGTCACAGGCTGCCACACTGAGCTGACTGCAGTGGAGTCAGCTCCCAAAGCTCAGGCCTCTGAAGCAATTGCATAGACTTCCCTAATGCTAACTTTGGGTCATTTTCCCCCTTCTGGTTAGAACGGAGTATGTGTGCTAGGAAGTGGGTAATTGCATAGACAGTACTCAGCAAGTATACTTCTGTTAGAGCTCTACTAGCAACAAGGCAGACTGCTGTGGGTATCTAAATGGCGCATGGCATACCCTCCCGCATCTGCCAACTATCAGACTACGCTGATACAAGCTGCGATATGGTAAATTAGTATGGCCCTTCTAGATACCATCTTTGTGACTCCACCAAATGACTTGGTAGGACTATACAGATGTAAGATGTGTGTGGCCCACCAAGGGGATTGGATAGGTTGCTAATTCTGTAAATAAGATGCATGACACCCTTGAGGGGGTGGGAGCCATGTAAATAAGAAGGTGTATGGACCCTCCACCTGGGGATTGGTCAGTTGCCATCCTGCCAAGTTCAAAATGAACAATCCCAGAGGCAGAAAGGATCTCACCACTATCAAGGAAGAAGAGCCAGTGAAGCATGTCCTTTGGACCCACGACCCCTGTACTAAACCTCAACCCAGCGGACAGAGCGGTGATGGCTGAGGTGGGGGGGGGGCCCGCGGGCGCACGATGCGAGGCAGCGAAGCAGTGGCAGCAGGGCTAGGAGACCAGCCAGAACAGAGCAGTGGCACAGTGGTATTCGGAGCGAGGATATTGAGTGCCTTTGGACAGGAGGCTTCCTCGTGCTGTGGGGTGCCTTGAGTACTTGCTAGCAGAGTTAAAAGTGCTTTGTCACACTTTCCCAAGCAAGGGCAGGACCGGAGCAGCTGCCTAGGGACAGAGGTATGCCTGTGGCCATGGCTGAGAAGTGACCGTCTTCATCCAGATAATTGTATCCTGAGCACTTCTGTTCCAAGGATGGGGCTGTCTGACCTCCACCGCATACGAATCAGCCTTGGGCAGCTAATGCTAATGAGACTAGTAATGTGACAGTGTAGTAGACCCCACCCACCATACCACTGCTACCAAACCCTTACAGAAGGCTCCCTGGGGAGCCGAAATGTGGGCTACTTAAGTGATACCTGCTCCCCACACAAACAACAGGGCTACCGGGTCTCAGAAACCAGCAACAGACCTCTTGAAGATCATTGTGGGGCGTGTCAGCCCCTCCTCTTCGTGATATAGAAAAAGTCTACCTTAGTTCCCCCGAATCCCATGCCAGAAAAAAGACCCCACCACTGCAGAGAGAGAAGCTTCAGGCAAAACCGAAGGGTACCACTTAGCCCAAAGAGAGCCTACTGACAGAAAATGTGGCAGAAATAAAGGCGAGTAATAACCAGAGAGAGGAGACTGCACCCCCTGGTGGACAAATTAATAAGTACACAATATCTTGCTTGAATGGCAGTAGGAGTGTTAGAGATGTTGAAAGTTGAAAACCAAGATTAGGACTTTTAAATCTTAATTAAACGAGGAGAGGAGAAGGAATCTATCACAGACAGAGATAATAATCTGTAAGCAGAGACTTAAGATTCTGCCCACCCAACAATTATTTTGCAGAAATTATTACTAGCAGAAACACCAAATCGTGGGGAGAAATAAGAAATTTAACAAACTTGAAAATTCTGATGCCCCAGCAGAAAACAAAGTAAAGAGCAATAATGATCAGTTCGTGAGTTAACAGATAAAGGGGCTGAAATTGCCTCCATGGGAGACTAAATAAAACAGTAGAAGGATATAATATAACAACATAACTAAAAAGTGAAACAAAACATAGGCCAAGATCCACAATGAATCAGGGACATGGTGTGAATACAAAACAAGAACTTTTAGAAAGATAGGGAAAAAAATCAAACAATAACCAAAAGAAACACAACAGAAGGATTTACAAGAGAGTTAACCACACAGAAGAAAGAACCAGAAAACTAGGAGATCTGACAGTGATATTACCTAGGCTAATGAGCAACAGCCATGCAGGTTCAAGAAGGCTGAACACAGTGTAATAAAATTACGGAACTGTAGCAGAAAGAGATGAGACAGAATGGGACAGAGAGAATATTTGAAGAAATAATGTGAGATTTTTTTTCTCATCCTGTGGACATGAATCTATGTCTTGAGGCTCAAACCACCCCAGTTAGGATCAACCCAGAGAGATCTACACTGTGACTTACCAAAATCAGAGTCCCAGAAAGTAAGGCTAAGGAGAGTATCCCGAAAGCAATGAGAGCGAAGCAAGCGGCCACATACAACGGGTCCACAGTAAGTGTCCGTTTCTCCTTAGCTATGTGAGGGTGAGTGTTTCATGGCGGTTTGGCTGGGCTAGAAGTCTCAGAGGTGTGGCAAGCACTATGTGTCACCTCCCACTTTGTGATCTCATAGTCTGGCAAAGCACTGTCTTTTGGCCCTGCATGTGGCTCGTCCCTGTCAGCTCTGCGGTTGTGAGAAGCCTTCAGCCAGCTGCCTAAGCTGCTGATTGCGGATTTGCCAGCCCCCGTAACCCCATGATCCTGGCATGTGGCACGCATATTTTTCATTCATCAGTCCCTACAATCACGTCAGTCTGAAGAAGCCGTCAGTCTTCCACCTAACCAGTGGGTTTTGGACTTTCCCCCGAAGAATTCTATGCTCCCTCGTTGGCACCAGGTCAAAACAGCAGTTTCGGTTTCCTCAGGGAAATCAAATTGTGCTCCTCTTAAATACCTTTGAGTTTGGATAACAGTAAGTCTAAAGGGGCAAGCTCATGGCTGTAGGATGGGGGGAGTAGATTTCCCCATGAAATTCCTTGCTATCCCCAAAAATGACAAGTGCATTGTTGGGATGGGGGAAAGGTCCTCAATACAGCTTTCATTGCTTTTTTTTCATACCAAACCAGTTTTTAATTTTCTTATAACTTTCTAATAAGCCCAGTGATTGTCCTATGTCCTTCCAGAAAAATCTATCAAGATTACATTTCTTTGTACTGCCATATCTGTATGGAGTCACCGAACTGATAAACTCCTCAGGACCAATAATGAGTATTGATACCAGGAGGGGAAGGGGAAGGTGGGGGGAGAAAGAGGGAATCAGTCACAATGATCGACACATAATCCCCTCCTAGCGGGACGGACAACAGAAAAGTGGGTGAAGGGAGACATCGGCCAGTGTAAGGCATGGAAAAAAAATAATTTATAAAGCTTCAAGGGATCATGAGGGAAGGGGGTGGGGGAAGGGGGAAAATGAGCTGATACAAAGGGCTGAAGTAGAAAGAAAATGTTTTGAAAATGATGTTGGCAACATATGTACAAATGTGCTTGACACAATGGATGGATGTATGGAATGTGATAAGAGCTGTGAGAGCCCCCAATAAAATGAAAACAAACAGACTAAGACAAGTATACTACTGAGAGGACTCAACCTGCAGCCATCTACTGATCACAGACTTCTTTCAACAAGTTCCGTGTGAAATAGACCCAGACCTACACGAACTGGAGCACTGGTTTCAATGCTTTTTTACTTACCCTTGGACATGGAATGACAATCGGTCGCCTAGTTAAAGAAAATTTATAAGGGAAGAACAAAATACCACTTGTATTTCCTGATTTTAAAACACACAGAAATGTAATCAAAACATCTTAGTACTGGTATAGGCACAGAGAGCAGGAAAATAACATTGAGTCCAGAAAGAATACGGGGAAAGTTGGATTTATGAAAAATGAAACAGGATTGACGTTTCATACCATAATAAAAAATAAATTCAAAATGGATCAAAGACTGTAAAGTGAAAACTAAAACCATAAAATTCTTAGAATAAAATACAGGAGCAACATGATGAGTGTCACTGTTGTAGCTCCTGGTTTGCTGTGTAGTACCTAGCTCATCAGTGGACATCTAAGATACAAGTAATGGTCTCTGTTCTTCTGGACCAGCAGAGCGAGAAAGAGCCAGGAGTGAAGCAAACACATTTAAAGTCCCATTGTCCTCAAGTCCATTCAGACCCCTAGTGAGCCTGGAGAGCAGAGTAAATCTGCCCGTGAGCTTCCCATGGCGCTGACCTGTACAGCAGCGGAATAAACGGAGAATGGAAATGTGTGGCTGAGCACCTCCATGAATGACTCCCTCCTTTTCCAGTAAGCAAGAAGAACTGGATGGTTCCATTACTGAGTGTTTTGATCAAAGATGCTGTAGAAGAATCCTAATCAGAAGTGAGGAAACGTAGAAGAGAATTTCTAACTCTCATGGGATACAGACTTTTGGGAGCCATGTAGGCTGTAGGAACCACTAACATTCTTGCTCCATGAGAATCTTTTAGCCTTAATCCAAAAATATTCCCTGAAATCTTGAAATAGTTTAGCTTAAGTAGTAAAGACTTTCTACCTTGGGGATTTTGATCTTTTGTGGTCCCTCGGTGTGGGAGTAAATGGAGAGTACTCTCAGAAGTTCAGGCAGGAGACTTGAGGACCCCGAGTCGATGTTAATGGGGTGGAACAACAGAGGAGGGGAGCGAGCATGGTGACGCAGCTTGAAGGAGGTAATCGGTGGCCCTGAAATGTACATGTAGAAATTGTTGAATTGATATATTCTGCTGTGTCTATATTCTCAACAATAAAAGTATAAGAAAGTATTAAAAACAAAGCACTAAGAAATAGGAGGAGGAAATTTGGTTCGTGTGCACTTGGGAAGGGCTGGGAATAAAACTAAACCGGCTGAATTGTTTTCCTTGAAGCCTAAGCAGAGCGTGAGCTTGATAGATAATGATTTTAAGAAGTGGTTTAAGAATTGACTTTAAGAATTTTAAGAGACTGATCTAAACAATGAATTACAGTATGAGTCACCTCATTCTAGGTGCTTTTTATTAATGAACTTGTCAAAAGTTTGAGACCCAAGATTAAGGGTCTTTGCATGGAAAATGTCTTCATAGGAATCCCTTAGAGCTGGAATACAGTTTTAAAAAATTATAAACATCTGTGCTTTGAAGGACACTATTGAGACAACCCACAGAATAGGAAAAATAGCAAATTATATCTAATAAGAGGCGTGGTTCTGTAAAGGACTTGTATTTTCAACTCAGCTATTAAAAGGCAACTCAATTTAAAAATGGACAAAGGATTTCAATAAATCTTTATCTACAGGAACTGCATAGATGGCCAATAAGCACTTGAAAAGGTGTTCAACACCATTCGTCATTGGGAACATGCACATCGAAGCCACAGTGAGATAGCACTTCACACCGCTGTGGTGACTGTCATAGAAAAGATAGCCAGTAACCCATGTTACTCGGGATAGAGAGAAATTAGAATCTTCTTGCATTACCGGTGGAAACTTACATTGGTGCACTCATTGTGGAAAACAGTTGGATAGTTCTCAGAAAATTCTAATTTGACCCACAAATTCCACTCCTAGGAGACTTTAAATAAGAAGGAAAAGCCTTATGTCTACAAAACAGAAAAAAACAAAAACCCAAAACGGTAGCGCAAATGTTTATGTTCTGTTATTTATTATTCATGCTTCTTCATGTGAGTTAGTTAATTGTGCCAGCCTGACCGATAATCACATGTGGT